CAGGTGTGTGCGTGGGGGGGGGGGTGATAGTGAATGCAAGAGCTAGGTAGGATGGCTGCGACATGTGATTGGTTAGGTTAGAGGGGCCTTAGTATGAACTGTCTATATCTTTGGATTGTCCCGTTTGAACCTCAGTTCTGACATGGTACTGTTCTAGCCTGGATCATGCTGATATCTCAATAAACAAATCACTGCCAAAGAGAGTGTTGTTGGGGGTCTCTTGACCAGGAGTCTGACACCTGGAACCATACCTTCGGGTGTCATATCTTCCAGTGCCAATTCAAAATGTTGGAACTTACCTTTAAAGCCAATGGCCTGGGACCACACCTTCACATCCTCCTCTCCTGGCATGATCCTCCTTGTCTTCTCCAATCTTCATCTCGCATTTATTGAAGGTCCCTGGTCCACGAACTGTTCTCTTTGTTTCAACAGGGGTGAGGACCTTCAGTAGTGGCTCCTACCCTGTGGAACCAGCTGCCCGAATAGGTGCATGCCTTGTGGGACCTCCCTAGGTTCCGCAGGGCATGCAAGGCTGCTCTTTTTCAGGCAGCCTTTGAGTGACTATGATCCACCAGGGAGCTGGTATACTTCAGCTGTGTTGTCTCCATCCAAGTATCCTAGCCAGTTTGGTGTAGTGGTTAAGTGCGCGGACTCTAATCTGGGAGAACCAGGTTTGATTCCCCACTCCTCCACTTGCACCTGCTGATGTGACCTTGGGTCAGTCACAAGCTCTGGCACAGCTGTCCTTGAAAAAGAGCAGTTTCTGTCAAGAGCTCTCTCAGCCCCACCCACCTCACAGGGTGTCTGTTGTGGGGAGGGGAAGGGAAAGGAGTTTGTAAGCCGCTCTGAGACTCCAAGTGAAGGGCGGGATATAAATCCAATCTCTTCTTCTTCTTCTTCTACCCTGCTTAATAGTGGATAGCTTTTAATGGGGATAGATTTTTAACCATTTTATATTTTTAAGGCAATTTATTATATCTGTGTTGTTTTAATTGGTGTATTTTATATGCTGTTAGCTGTCCCGAGTCCCATTTGGAGGATAGAGGTCAGGATATAAATTTGATAAATAAATATTCACCAAAAGATATACAAATCATAATCATGAAGTCCACCCCAAAAATGCAGTTGTGTGACTTTCAAGAAGTTATGGTGAAGGACACTTTGATTCTTGAAAGCTTATACCCCCAAAATCTTGTTGGTCTCTAAGGTGCCACTGAACTTGACTCTAGGGCATTCTGAATTATTTACAGTAAGCATTATCTTTTAGAAATTTCTCTTGCACGAATCCTAATGGAAAAAATATGGCAGTCGTGCAGGAACATGGCATTGAGACATTCTCCTACACATTGATATAAGCTGAGAATAACTGTTAGCCATGCCAAAATAGTTTGGTCTTTAAAAAGTCCTAGTGGGTTGTGCCCAACAGTAATAAATGAGTACTCACGTCATGAACATGTTAGCTGGAGTACACTCAGAATTACACTCTTCTGTGCCCATTGACCTCAATGGACTTCTGAGGATGTAACTGTTTAGGATCCTCTGTTGGTGTCTCAACCTAATCTCCTTCTTTTTGCTTTTTAATAATGCATACTTAAGTTTGCTGTTATTTCTTCAGGTTTCCTCTGTTCTTTTTTCAGCCTTCCTTTTCAGCCTGGCGTAGATGTTTCGATATCCGGACAGGAAGGATTTATGAATTGCCTTCCAAAAAATGTATTTTAGAAAGACTGCAGTTCTTTCATTTGGCAGTGACTGTTAGAAATTGTCATTTGTCCAAGCTCGTGCCTTTTCAGCTGTATAATATGGGAAATTGGCAGCAGTGACCTAAAGATGCCTGGAGGCAGATGGTCCTTAGAAGTGGTGCCTAATAAGTCTATTAACAGTTGGATAGTAATTATAGATGGGAGGGAAAGTTTGAAACAATTATAGGATTTTTTTTGGCAAATAAATCACTCCAGGCTTAATAGAACTTCCTTCCCTATGAATTGATGGATGCCATCGATGTGCTCTAGTTTAATTATGAGAACCAGAAGTTTTCAAGTGAGAAAATCTGGGCCAGAGCAAGATGTGGCAGAGATAGTTCCATGTATTTGGATCTGGCCCAGAAGGGGATGGTGAGATCTGTCTTTAAAAGCAAAAGGGGCACACAGGAGAGGGGAGCTAAACCGCCCCCCCTTTATTATCTCCTTAATGTCTCTTCCTCCGAGGGCTTGTATCTCAGTGTTATTGCTGATATACATTCCTCAGACATGGGGAAAGTACCTTCAGAGATGGTCTGAGAGTATGCAAGCTGCAGGGAGGAGAATTTTCAGCATTCCTCACAAGAATGCCTTTTTTGCTTTTTAAAAGTCAACCCCTCATTCCCTCTGCTCTGTGAGGACATAAGAAGAATTGTGCTGGATCAGAAAAGTTCCATCTAGTCTACCATCCTTTCTCATGCCGTAGCCAACCAGTTGCCTTGGAGGATCAAGAAACAGGACACAGAGGCCAAGACCCTTCCCCTTGATGTTGCCTCCCGGCAACTGAAATAGAGAGGTTTCGTATCTTTGGAGATAGTATTTCCCTTTAAATGTCATGGCTGGTAGGCACTGAAGAATCTGCCCTCCCTGAACGTATCGCCACTGTGATTGTTATTGGGTCAGAGTCATATTTCAGCACATGAGCCCACTGTAACAGTTGCAATATGAAGACTAATGGTTCTAAAAGCAATGGATATAATCCCTTCTATCCTATACAAGTCACTCCTACAAATATTGTGATCTAGCTGTACACCAGGGAACCTTAGAAAGAGCAGGATGAAACGGCACAACTCCCTTTTTTTTGAGAAATTGCAACAATGGAGTCATTGTGCATCCATGTGGATTTAATGCAATATGTTATATGTGTGATGATGGGGAGGATCATGCACCTGTTCCTTTCGATACTAGGAAGACCTCTGGTCTTTATGATCTGGGCTTTGGAAAGGGCAGATCTAGGCTGAGGGTCCCCAGTATGGTGCCCGGGGGGAGCCATGGCATTTATTGAGACCTTTTCTGACATTCATCTTTTTAGGAAGTGGGCAGAGCCGGGTTGAGATTTTGCCCAGCAAGGCTTCTGATTGACTATTGGAGATCTGATTGGTTGTGCAGATTTTTTAAAAAATGTTGCTTTGATAGCAGCTGCCACCACAACACAAGGATCAGCACTATTTTACTGAATTAAGCTGTGGCAATCATTTTGTGGCTGGCTCCACCTCCTGCAGGAGCCAGTCTTTGATAGCCATTTTGTTGTTGCCACCGGTATGCTATATCAGATTTCCAAATGTGACCTCAGGCTCAAAAAGGTTGGGGACCCCAGATCTATAACTAAATTAAAAATCAGAGTTCTTCTGTTCATATTCCATTCACAGAAGACTCTGTCTATAATCGGAAGTTGCTTATCTTCCTTTCACTGAGAAATCTTTGTGTTCTTTGTGGATGGAAGACTTCTCACTTAGCTAAAGGGCATCTTAGGATCCAACCTCTATACAAGATGAACTGTGCTATCCTATGCCTATTCCCATTGATTTCCCTGGAGTAACACTGCATAGAATTGCACCGTAAAACAAAATAGGGTGCCATTTTGTACACTGGAATGAAAGATCATCAGGAGAGGTTGAAGATTAAACCATTGCTTTATAATATGAGCTCCCTGTCCCCCCACAAAACCAAAACAGAGAACCATAGCCACTGAAATGTCAAAAAAGGACTAAAAAGGGTGTGTATGGACACTGAACAAGCATAAACAATTAGCAAAATATGTATTAAGATACAATGAAATGTGAATAAATACGAAGTATTTTATAAAGTATACAATAAAGGTCCAAAGTTTAATTAAAACAGATGAAATTTCCAGATAATATGTTCTTTTTGTGTGTGTCTTCTTTTGAGAAGGACCAGTATATGATTTCAATCTACAAAAACCATGTTTTCTACTTGTGGACAAGTTTGTATACAGTTAATAAATCATTATTATTCAAACAGGAAAAGTAAATTTCTATGATAATTTGCAAGGCATAACAAAAATCTATAGACGAGCCACCGTATTCAACAAGAAGAGTTCAGAATGTAGCCAGTTTGTGATAGCCATTTTGTTGTTGCACCCACCACGCTGTATCAGAATTCACATTTCATTATATCTTAATACATATTTTGTATACATATTTTGCAAATCATTTATGCTTGTTCAGCATCCATATGCAGCCTTTTTTGGTCCTTTTTGACCGCCCCCCAAACCAACACAATTATTCCACGTACCTTTCCCTCTCTTTTTTTTAATCCCCCCCATATGTTAGTAAGGTCTTACATTTTCTTTTTCTTTTTTTGCTTCTATCTCTAGCTTTGGCATGATCCATGATGGAGAAGGGAATCCTTGCAGAAAAGCTGAAGGTAACATTATGTCTCCTACTCTCACAGGCAACAACGGAGTGTTTTCGTGGTCAGTGTGCAGTCGGCAGTATCTTAACAAATTTCTCAGGTAAGTTTGAAGCAAGAGGGTAATTGTTGGAATCTTGAGTCTGAACCAAATGTCTGACATTGAGTGCCTTCATAAATTTATTGAGTAAACCAATATGTTTTGGGAAGGGGAGACTAGCTGGTGTGGTAGGGTGGTTAGAGGTTTTGACTAGGATCTTGGAGACCCACTTTTGAAACCCCTACACCGTGGAAGCTGTCCAGGTGACCCACAGCTAGTTGTTCTCTCTCTGCCTGACCTACCTAACTGGTTTGTTGTTGTTGTGGGGAGAAAATGGAAGAAAAGAGAATGGTTTGGTGAGCCATTTTGGGTCCTCATTGGGGAGACAAATAGGGTATAAATATCTAAATAAATGACACAGTTTTTATTTAATCTAAAATCTCCTTGATCCATGTTTGAATCTTGTACACATGACATGTGTATGAATAGACAATGTGTGGGGTTGTGGTGGTAGAATTTTTAGCCTCACCCCCATTCCATTCAGCTTGAGCTGACCCTGCTTAGCTTCCAAGATCTGATGAGATCAGGCTATCCTGGGCTATCCAGGTCATGGCAGGGAGGAATTACCTTTTTCTTTCTTCCTGTTTTTCTGCTCCATATTCTACCACCCGCTGCCATGAACTACTGTCTCACCTGTCTAAAATAAGAGCCAGGATCCCTTGATCTTTTCTCTTATGATTTGGAAAGCAGTTTGTGTGCAGCACTTTTGAGGTGAACAAATTGGAGGAAGGCGTTCAGCAGATGCTGCCAGTCCTCTGTTGAAATCAAGAACATCCTCGGCTTCTTTAGATTCAGAAAAACGTAGGAGGGTGTTCATGTGTCTCCCACATATTATCTTGTTCGGCCTTTGTCTATGACTTCTTGTATGGAAAACTGCAAGGAGTAAAAAATTTGGTATCTCCTGTCTGTTTTCAATGCCTGTGTTATGCTATGGTTTGTTTGAAATGCAGATTTTCCACATTGCTACCCCTCTGGAATTTGTGAGAATGAGTACATCTCTATGATCCTGTCTATGCAGCTGAACTGATTTTTGGTTTCAGTTGGCCAGTTGTTCAAGCAGTTTGGCGTGACACTGCACCAGTACTATCTACCATGTGATTCTGAGGGCTGATTTCACATTATAGAACAGGGTCCTGTTCAACAGTCACACATGAATTCCTCAGTTCTCAAGTGTGTCACACATGGAGGAAGGGGCTTCAAGCTTCCCTCCAGTCAGTTTTCCTAGCCTGAAATGTTCCTGGGGAGTCCCACTATTTAGACTGTTGGGGAAACCCACATGAAAACTTTATCCTTCTTCCTATATGGCTTAGTTGTGATTTGAATTGCTTATGCTGTCAAGTCACTTTCACCTTATGGCAACCCTATGAAGTAATGATCTCCTAACTGCCCTATTATTAGGGGTGTGTAATTTTCTTTCTCAGTATTTTTAGGTTTGGGTCTACTGCACCTCCCAAAAATTTGGGATTCTCAAAAAATCCTGGATCCTAATCCTGGTAAAATATTCGGTTCCAGGATTTTTCAGAAAACCTGAATTTTTTGGACCCAAACCGAAAAATTGGGAGAGAGAAAAAAGCAGCAGCAAAGCTGCAAAAAACAGCTGTGGCTCAGCTGGGGCTCTTTTGGGTAGTTCCTTTAAATTGGACTACCCAAAAGAACCCACAAAGCAGCTGATCCTGCAGGGAAAAGCTGGGGCTCCCTTGAGCCATGATGAGAGTTCATGGGATCAGCTGCTTTGCCTAGAGAACTCTCCCCATGGGATCAGCTGCTTTGTTTGCTCAAGAGAGACCCAGCTGAGCCGCGGGAAAAGTTCTCCATGCAGGATCAAATGCTTTGCAGGCTCTTTTGGGCAGCCCTGTTTAAACCACACTGTCCAAAGGAGCCCCAGCTGAGCTGGCAGGGAAAGTTCTCCCTGCAGGATGTGCTGATTTGTGGGCTTATTTGGCAGTTCAGTTTAAACCGAACTGCCCAAGAGAGCCCCATCTGAGATGGGAGGGGGAGAGTGGTTCCCCCCTCCCCAGCTTGGCTGTTTTCCAGGCTGTCTTCTGCAGTCCCTTTAAACATTCCCTGCAGAAGAAATCCTGAAAACAGCTGAGTGGTGGGAGCAATCTTCTTCAGCCCCTCAGTCGTTTTTCGGGGTTTGCTGGTAATTTCCAAATATATCTGGGATTTTGGGGGGAATTTTTTTGGGTTCTTCCAAAAAATCCTAGATACATTTGGGATGCCAAAGTATACCTGAAAAATACTGGTATATTTTTGGATCAAGTAGATCCAAATACACACCTCTACCTATTATTAACAGCCTCCCTCAGGTCTTGCAAACTGAAGGCCGAGGCTTCCTTTATTGAGTCAGTCCATCTCATGTTGCATCTTCCTCTTTTTTTTACTGGCCACCATACATGTGGGAATTGAGGAACTTGTGCAACTTTTACTCAGGACACAGGGTGGGGACCCTGGACCTAACCTGTGTACTCTGTAACATGGAAATCAGCCCTGAAGCACTTGCATTGGGGCTGCCTGTGTGCGAACCATCCCACAAAAGCTTTTCGCTTGCCGGCAGTTTACCACATTAACCTGTGAGTGATTGAGTGGTAAATAAGTAATGGTGTACATTTAATCAGGATTAAACTCTCAGTTGCTCCCAGACCCTATCTGGCTTTGATTTGCTCTTAAAGGATATAATTTGAACCACATATCATGGTTTTCACATAAAGATAAAATGGTCCATTCAGAGATGCATCTCTTTCTTACAGTACAGCTCAAGCGGCTTGCCTGATCGATGAGCCCAGACAAACTGGGCAATACGAATATCCCGATAAACTCCCAGGGCAAATCTACGATGCTGACACACAATGCAAATGGCAATTTGGAGGGAAAGCCAAACTCTGCAACCTGAGTTTTGTGAAGGTACATTTCTAAGTATCTTTCAAGCAAAGTTAGAACTTGCACTGGGAAATAGCAATGAGCTGTAAAAGGGAGACATTATGAATGAGTGGAGGGGTTCCAAGGAGCTCCAGGGTCTACACTCTTTCTAAATCTTCAATGATTTGGCATGCTTTTTTGCTTGCTTTTAAGGTGTTGACTTGGATGGGAGTCAAGGTGGGCCAGCATTGCTGCAGGACAAGATTGTGCCTACAGGATGTAGAATCAAATTGCAATTGACATTGAGGAGTGAACGGGAGGGGGATGCCTAAGCTCCGTTTTACATTACGAGACTTTCTTTTTTATTATGCTGCGATAGAATGGCAGGTAGCCCATATTTGTTACTAGGTCACAGAATGTGCAAGGACTTTGCTCAGGTATATCCACAGATTGCATGGCGTGATCCAGTCCTAAAATGATGCTATCTGTTGTGTCCTCAAGTGTAATAATGGAGAACTCTCTGATGCTTCTAGTGGTCTGATTTCAATATGTAGAAACAATAATATTAACATTGGTGCTCTGTGTGCGTAAAAGTTACCAAAATTCAGTCCCTCTTGTATATGACCAAGAAATAGAATGTGAGGTGAGGCTATGTGCATGCAAGAGAAGAGTTATGCACGTAACAGCAGGCTTGAGTCCCCCAAAACTGGCCTCATCAGTGGCAGGAAGCAGACAGCTCCCATTTCAGTGGAGGTCCTGAGCACCACCATTCACCCCTGTAGGAGAAAAGGAAAAGCACTGCATTGCTGTGATGAGGGCCAACAGAGCCTATCAGCCTTACGTAGGGATCTCACCAGGGTGTGGGTGGGTGGTCACAGTTTGTTAATGTGTGCATAAAGCCACTGCACAAATCCCAGAAGTCCTTGCAATATGCTGGCCCTCCTTCCACATTCATTTGCCCACAGATACCTTCATGGCAGTCATATTGCTAGCTAGTCAGTAATGGAAGAGAAGGCATCAAAAAGCTTGTCAGCTAGTTAAGTAATGAAGTAGAGGGCATCAAAGAGCTTGCAATCCATTGTTGGATGCAAGAGCAGGATGGAGATGGCAGAAAGATACATGGAGTTAGGTCCTACTATTTTCCCGTGTGATTTTGCCCAACCCTCCTTGCTGCAGCCTCTGTCCTGTGTGGTGTTTGTATATGTGGGTCCCGTGATCCTCAGCGTAGCCTTTTCAGTGGTGAAAATGGGCCATTCCTCTTTCCCGCTCAAGCAGAATAACTGATAGGGTTTAACCAATAAATTGCAGCTCATTTGTGTGGGATTGTGTATGTGTAAATCCATCATCTGTTTCTTTCAACCTGCCTTTCCTCTGAGGAGCTCAGGGTGGTATATATAGTGTCTTTCTTCTGCATTTTATTATCATGACATCCCTGTGAAGTAGGTTAAGGCTGAGAGAGACTAACTGGTTCCAGGCTGTGTGGGATTTCCCACACAAGCCCTAGTCTGACATGCTGTCCACTGCACCAGCCTTGGAGGTTGTGTTATGTTGTAAGAGAAGGAAGCAAAGTGTTGCTGGGACAGCAGATTAAGTAGGGAAGATAGACCTGAAAGTTAGGAAGTAAGGATTTTAGGTTGTGGTATGAGAGGAGGGGAATGGCCGTAGCTCAGTGGTAGAGCACCTGCTTTGCATGCAGAAGGTCTCTCAGGTTCAATCCCCAGCATCTCCACTTAAAAGCATCACGTGGTACGTGATGTGAAAGACTTCTGCCTGAGACCCTAGAGAGCAGTCTGGCAATACTGACCTTGAGGAACTGATTATCTGATTCGTTATAAGGCAGCTTCATGTGTTCATGAAAGATTAGAGTTTGTGGGAATGGAAAGAGGGAGACAGATTAAGGATAAGTGAAATGTGGATATCAAGGAGCAGGGCTATTTTGGGGCAGGAACGCACAGGAACGGAGTTCCGGCTGGCGCCCAAGTTTGCCACGCCCAGCAGGAACTCATTAGCATAATAGGCCACACCCAGCAGCAGGAACTCATTAGGATTGGCTACATTAGGGGTGTGTGGCCTAACATGCAAAGGAGTTCCTGCTACAAAAAAGCCCCGGGTTTTGACAACAAACAAGGTAAACAGAATAAGAAGCAAAAGGTGGGTGTGGCTGGATGAGCACACTTCTGGTAACATGGAGGTGTGGCCTAATATGCCAATGAGTTGCGCTGTCAGAGGTGTGGCCTAATATGCTAATGAGTTCCTGCTGTTGGGTGTGGCCTATTATGCTAATGAGTTCCTGCTGGGCTTTTTTTCTACAAAAAAGCCCTGTCAAGGAGGAAGAGAAATCATGGAAGCACCTGAAGAGCATGGTCAATTGGGTGTGGGAGTGGAACAATATTAGGTTTTCAGATAGGTTACTGCAGATGCTGCCTTATATTGAATCACATTGTGTTATTAACGTCAGGATTGTCTACTATGGTTGACAGCAGCTCTCCAGAATCTTAGGTAGAGCTCTTCCACTTTACCTACTACTGGAGCCATTTAACTGGAGATGCTGGAGACCGAACCTTCTGCATGCAAGCAGGTGTTCTACCAACAAGAAACAGCTCTGAGAAGAGATGGAGGTGTGATCAAGAGACAGTGATGAGGAAGGTGTTTTCCATATTTGAGGCAAGACAGAACAAGAGTATGAACCGAGTGCTGGCGGCCAAAATGGAGAGGCAGGGGTGGATCTTGTTATTGTCAAAAAGGCAGGAGCAGAAGCTTTTGCAGCAGCTTGTATTGTTAGGGGGCAGGGTGGGCGAGGACAGGGAGTGGAATCAGAAATAACTTGGAGGGTATTTGTCTGGGAAATCAGTCAGATGGTGATAGAGATATAAGAATTAGAGCTACAGTTGTGGTGAAGGGGGTCTTTTGATGCGGTTGAATTTGTTTGGTTTATAACATATCAAGGAGAAATGTTAGAGATGTTTCCAACTCAGAAGATACTCGTCTTCCTACTGCCAGAAAAGTGAAACTGGGTTCAAAATGGGTCAGTTCTGAGCAGTGTTCCCTCTAAGCTGAGTTAGTGTGAGCTAGCTCACAGTTTTTTTAGCCTCCAGCTCACACACTTTTGTCTTAGCTCAGAAAGGATGGCTCCAGAGCAAACTAATTTGTGCAGTAGCCAAATCACTTGCTCACAACTTGAATGCCAGTAGCTCGCAAAGTAGAATTTTCGCTCACAATACTCAGCAGCTTAGAGGGAGCATTGGTTCTGAGTAGTAGATCCTGGTGGCTTTTGTAAGTCTCTTACAAAATGTGATTTACTCAATGGGACAGTGTGCATGTATGCAGAGCTTTTTTTTCCCTTTTCTGGTAAAAGAGGTGCCGGAACTCTCAAGAGGGAAATGAAGTTTTCAGTCTGTATACTGAAAACGGATGAACTTTTAAACTTTTTAAAAGAATTTTGTCAAAGAGGTTCTGGCACATACCCCCAGGAAAAAAAAGCCCGGCATGTAGATGATGCCACCATGTGGTGGAAACCAGTTGCATGGGTTTTTTTCTCACTTCGTCACCACTTGGCAGGGTGGGACCACCACAGCTGAGCAGGAAAGTACCATGAGATTGACTATGCCTATGTGGCTGTATAATTCACCTACTCAAGTGGTGCAAGCTCATGCCATGGGAAAATGACTCTCATGCCTTTGTGTGAATGGGGCCATACCTTTCCTGATGTTTCTTGCTGTTTTTAAAAAATGAGGTAATACTGGAATAAGTTGGAAGGGCCAGTTTGGCACTAGGTTTTTCCCCCCCATTTTCTTGATTATTCAGAAGTGTTGTTACCAGTTTGGAACTGCGTTTCTTGCCGTTTTTTAAAAATGAGGTAATACTGGAATAAGTTAGAAGGGCCAGTTTGACACTGGGTTTTTTTTCACTTTCTTGATTATTCAGAAGTGTTGTTACCAGTTTGGAACTGGGAGAGGGGGTGTATTTTTTCAGGTTCCGAAAATTTGGGGGCTATTATTTTTGTATCCTCCCCAGCAGGAACAGGTTGGAGGTAGGGAAAAGAGAAGAAGCCAGTCTCAGATTTACCATGCTGGGATTGTCCCCAATGGAGACTTCTCTCTACTGCCAGCATCAGAGGTAGCAGAACCTGCCCCACAGTTGGAAAATGGTGGGTGGGTTCCTGAACTCCCATGAGTCTCTGCTATCACAGCAGGCATTCCCTTCCCTGACATGGTGTGGGTGGTATTTTTTTTAAAAAAATCAGCAGTCGAACAGTGTTATAGCAATATAACAGTATTGTCATATGTGTATTTGTTCTCTGAATTCCCAGCTTTCATTTAAAAAAAATAGATCTCTAGCCCCTTATATTGTGGACATAGAAAGGGATATCTCTGCAAAGGAAGGTGCTAGAGAGTCTTCTAAAAAAAATGGAAGCTGGGAATCACAGAGACTCTAAGTGAAGGTCGGGGTATAAATCCAACTCTTCTTCTTCTTCGCGTCCCATTCAGGGGAGAGGGAGCAGGATATAAATTTGATTAAAAAACAAAAATTTTAAAAAACCTCACAGAAGTATGTGGTTCAATACAGCCAATGTTTTTATTCACCCAATTCCCCTCCTTATCACTGCCCCGTGTGGCTTTTGTCTGTGCTGGTCTCATGATCCCTAGCACAGACCTTTTTCTGGGGGGAGAAAGATGCTGGAAAAGTACACATCGGATGGCTGTAGGCATGAAGAAATAAAATTAATGCTCGGTTTTTAAACTTTCAGGATATATGCAAATCACTTTGGTGCCACAGAATAGGTCATCGATGCGAGACAAAATTTATGCCAGCGGCCGAAGGGACACCTTGTGGGATAAACATGGTAAGTTCGTATTCGATTAGATGGGAAATGTGAGATCAGCACAGTAGCTCAGTGGCTAGGTTGTGCCATCTGGGTGGGTGGGTGGAGAGAAAATGCATGTCTGAATGCTTCCCCATATTAAAAGCAAATTCTTGCTACAAGAACTCTAGCATACCAGGAAAAAGGCTTTTCCTTGATGTGCTGGTTTTCTTTATATAGTTAAAGCATTTAAGTATGTGATTTCTGCCCACCCCATTGGTGGAATGGGGAAAAGGCTGCATAGTTTTTATGTCCTTTGGTAAGAGAAAGGAAGGTTAAAATGGCTTTACAAACTTCAGTATTTACTCTCCCACATAATCTGTTTAGGGATGAATACTATGCCCAAAGATCCCACCAGCTTCCCATTTTAGTATCAATTCTTCACTTGCTGAAATGGAAAAAACAAATACATAGGAATGGATCAGGTCCATTGGCTGACATTAATTTATTTTTCCCAATTGGTTTCCCTCCTTGAAGTCCCAATTGGATTATCTAGGTTGTTTTGAAAGAAATTCCAATTTTTACACTTCCAAAATGGGTGAGCAGTTGATGAAGCATTGACTTTCTACGTTCCCTCCTACAGTGGTGTCGAAGAGGTCAGTGTATACGGTACGGAGACCATGGTCCCAAGCCTGTTAATGGCCATTGGTCCATTTGGTCTGAGTGGTCTCAATGTTCTCGGACTTGTGGAGGCGGCATAACATACCAAGAGAGACACTGCAATAATCCAAAGTAAGACATTGGTATCATTAGGCATTATTCTTATGACTAGTTGGTATCTAGCAAGATAGAAGGCAGAAAAAGATTTTCCTTGAGAATTAACACATTTCCCCACCATCTAAGATCATCTTTTGGACTAGCAGGGTGTACTGTCAGACTAGACCTGGGAAATCAATTTCTCACCTTTCTTGGGCCAGTCATGCCCTTTTCACTCTTAAACAACTTCACAAGTTTGTTGTGAAGATAAAATAGAAAGGAGAGAACCGTGTATGCCATCTTGGAGCCCTGCTGGAGGGGTGTGAAAAAAATGCAATAGATAGATAGTAGAAATCCCATATCCCCCATAAATGTCAAGTGATTAGCATAGCAAAGTTCTCTTGAAGACTGTTACTAGGCTAAGGTGGGAAATGTGAGCTCAAATAAAACACTGAAGTTTTGGATCAGTGGATTGTAACCAATCAGTTAATCTGCTTGTGAAAAGTGAAGGAAATGTCTCCTTTAACAGCCCCAAATGGCTATGCTGGGTGATGGGGCCTACATGGACAATAACCAAGTGAGACAAAGGCTGTAGTAAGGAGGGGAACTGGGTAAGTAGGGTTGCCAACCTCCAGGCGGTGACTGAAGATCTCCTGGGATTACAACTGATCTCCAGGCAACAGAGGTCAGTTCACCGGGAGAAAATGGGCACTTTCAGCGGTGGACTCTATGGCATTATACCCCATTGAAGTCCCTCTCCTCCCCAAATCCCTCTCTCCTCAAGCTCCTCCCCCAAAATCTCCAAATATTCCTCAACCCAGAGCTGATAACCATATGGATATGATGATTGGTTGAGCTGGATCCAACCCAGTCAGTTTTTAGCAGAACTGATACTGAAACCCAGAATAAGGTGGTTTTTGTTTTACCAGAGGATGCTGTAATAATTCTAGGGATTTTAAAAAAAAATACACAGAAGACCACAGTTTAAAATTCATTGACACACAAATAATGTCTAAAATACATGCACTTTATGGGAGAACTTTGGCTTGAGGAAATAAAAAGTAGCACAAAAATAAAGAACGATGTATTGAATTTGCACAAAATGGAAAGGGCAGGAATGAGATATCCCAGTTGAAATTACAGGAATGAGAAATTCAAAAACTGCTCCTCAGCAGTGGTTCAAACTTGTCCAGCAAATGTTGTCTCTGGACTCCATCTTGGTTCTATGACAACGTCCATTCCCACCCCACAGTAACTTCAAAGGTAACAAACTGCTGGATGACCTGTTTTCCACACCCTTTATTTCTCCTCCACTTCCTTTGTCAAATGATTCCAACTGTTCGCGTGGGATAAGTAGCCATCTTAAATATTAAGCATCTACAATAGAAATGGTATGCCTTGTCCAGGTAAGAAAATTGGCAATGGTATCCTGAGCATCTGTCCGCATTCAGTACGCCCTTACAGCCTCCCAGCACCTTTGGAGGTCATGCACAGTGCAACCACTCTATGCAGATTTGCTAAAATCATTATGTTTGCATAAAGTTGCTGCAGCGTAAATTCCTGAGATCTGGTTTTCATACATCACAACATTTTACAGTCAAGGTATTTTCCCTGAGAATGCAATAGGTTGCATAATTTAATAGCTTGGCTGTAAAGAACACGAAGTGTGCCCATGAGACGTAAGCTCATACTAACTCATATCTGTGGGATCCAGGCTTACCTGCTTTATAATAGCACATTGTTTGCTAAAATATTAAAATGCAATTTTAGACTCTCGTGTACTTAAAAAAATACCAACGCGAAAACAATGGCTTCAACATATGTACTTTTACCAATTTGTTGTCATGCTCTTGCTTGTGGAGTGATTGTGAGAACTGCAAATAGCAACTGAGTGTACAAAGAGAACAGTAATTAGTGTGAGTCTGGAGGGACAGTCCAAGGGTAAAATTCCCTGATCTGCTTACTTTATACAGTAAAGACAGACTTCTGACAGCCTGGTCCTATCATACTTGTTCTGAAAAGAAAAAAAAAAGAATTTCAGAGGACATTCCAAATAAAGCTTGTCTGTAAATTCCAAAAGTGGTCTGTACTTTAATAAAATAACAAAACAGTCTTGTGGCACTTTAAAGCTTAATAGACGTATTGCAATCTAAGATGTAGAGCACTGGAGTCCATTTGTATCTGAGAAAATGGGCACTAGTCCATGAAGATTTATGCCACAATAAATCTGTTAGGCTTTACGGTGCAGTGCAACTCTCAGAATTGCAACCTCAGGTTCATAAAATGTTTTGCCAGTGAAACAAAAACTTCATATTTGAGTGCGTCTACTGAGGTATTTTGCTTCACTGTTGCTTTCTGACTTTTTTTAAGCATCCATAATCATCTAATTGTCTATTTTCCATTGTCTAATTGTCCACTTTCCCTTGCTTTGCTCTTATCTTCCCCAGACCTGCTTTGCTAAGATCTTTTTTGAAAGTCCAGTTTTTGCATGCCGCCTGGATGGCAAAGTGTGAATTTTCAAAGTTTCAGCTCACTTGTCATTTTCTTTCTGTCAGCCACTTGTGGCAACCGTTTTCTTTGCCACACCACTGAAGTTTTTTTAACAGTAATTGCTATTGTGCTATAGTGTAATAACATTATACTGATCTATTTCTGCAATCTGCTAGTTCATCTGAATTCCCAGCTTTCATTGAAACAAAGTAAGTCCTTTTTGTTGCTGAGTTATAATTGGAAAGGTGTAGGCATTGTTAATCCAGATAGTCTGGAAATGAATGGGGTGGAGAAGCTGCAAGATGCCTGTAGTAAGGTGAGAATTCACTGTTCAGCTGATCATATGGACACTCCATTTCCACTCCATATGTCTCTGCTGAATCCATCAGTGGCAGTGAAAGTGGCAGTGGCAGTGGAAGCAATGCAAAAGATCATCGCCATACGGATGATCTTACCATCACTAAATGGTTTACTTTAAGTTTTCATGTACCCCATTACTTTCTGATGCTACAAATTAGAACAGATAATCTAAGGCCCCGGTCACGTGGGCCAGATAACGCGGGGGTGAGGCGTGGCTGTTTGCCCTGGGGTAAAATAAAGCGTATTAGCAAAAAAAGCTCGATCACACAGTCTCCCAAGTATTCGCGCTGTGGCAGGAAGCTTGCGATCACATGGCGATGCTGGAGCTGGCAAAGAAGCCGTGCGGCAAGGGTTCCGTGTTTGTGCGCATGCGCAGTTCCACGAAGCAGCACTGCTTCCAGTTTAGTGTTCGTGCTCATAAGCTCTGGTTTGTGACAGGACTCGGATGGGCGCCGAAGCCACGGGATACTAGCACTCCCGCGATTAGACGCCCATCCCTGCCACACATTTTCCAGATACTACTGCACTTTCTGAGGTATTTTTTTACTGCGCGTCTTCGGCGGGATGCCACGGGTTGGCTACAGGTTCGCTATGCTTCCCAGATGTTGCGGTGTGATCGCGCACTGAAAATCCACCTACTATTCGTGCCTTTAGCGTGGCAAATCCTCCGTGTGAATGGGGCCTAAATAAGAAAAGGTATATAGTTGATAAACATGTAGTGGATGGACTTAATACAACCAGAAATGTTGGCATTGTCTTAAGAAAGCTGTTGTTCTTTCACCTCAACTACCTTAAATGTAGAGGTAGAAATAATAGACTTTTCTACAGAGCTGTTGTAAGAATTAATGATACAATTGAACAAAGCACTTCCAAGTGTGGGATATAAAGACAGAATATTATTACATCTGTATATATTTTAATGTACTGTTCCTCAGCTGTATAGTTACGGATGATA